TTTAATTTGAGTTGATCGTTGTTATTGTTACAATTAGGTTGAAGTGATCAGTTTAGTGAATATCCCAAATGATCGATATCGATCGGACTCAAAACTAGACAAAATTTTGAGTGTTTCGAATGAGTGAATAGGAGAATCATTGGAATGTTTTGCATTGAAGTGCATTGTTTAGCTCTTCATTGGCACATAAGAGAAATACTGTTATTGCGGGAATATTTATTTATCTTCACATTCTTTCGTAGTTGGTGAGAATTGAATTTTTGAAGAATTGAATTCTTTTTGGTTCAGTGATCGCAATTGATCTTGATCCGGTGCGTTTACGTTGTGCGGCTCAAAACGCAAAAGTTTACGGTGTGGCTGATCGAATTAATTTCATCTGCACGGATTTCTTTCATTTTGCGCAATCACCGAGACTATGGAGTATGGCAACGCCATTTTCTAATGAAGACGGGGAATGTGATACAAATCAGAATGACAGATGTGCCGAGGGTGTTATCGATGCGATATTTCTAAGTCCACCATGGGGTGGACCGTCTTATTTAAAAATGAAGGTAGGTATCGGTCATCAAAGAAGGATTGTATTGTATTTAGGTGCTTGTTCATCGTTTTTGGAATTTTATTTTATGGTTCATTCGATCAGTAATATTTCTAATTTGAAAGAGTATTCATTTGGCGAGCAAATATGGAAGAGAGTCTATTTTCCACTTTTACACTCTTCACATGTTTAGATTGAGGCAGTTTTTGTTAAGTTCAGATTTATTCTGGTGATCAAAATTGCATATGAATCGCTCGCTCAAAATGGAATCAAATTTTCTCATGAACAATATGTTTTCATTATTTGTGAGTGTTACTGCTTTTCTTTTGAAAGAATATCGGTCTGTCGTGCACTATCAATTCAAACGGATAATAGATTATTCATTTTGAAGGAGTTCGATTTGAACACTCATTTAACACCGAATGGTTTCGATATTTTCAACGCTGCTAAGAAAATTACCTCAAATATAGCGTATTTCTTACCGAGACAAACGACGGTTGGTCAGGTGATTGAGCGCTTCTTTTTTTTTTGAAATTTCCAGAAAATCAGTGGTGTTTGCAGTTTGTTCTGTGAATGCAGTTAACCGAAAGAGATCTTTTGCGATCAGTATGGAGTGAGGAATTAACTATCACTTTTTCGAGTTAATCGAATTATTTGAATGATGAAATTTTTGTTTTTGTTACCTTAAGTGAACGTATTTGTGGTTTTTGTTGTTGAATGAATGTCTGAACGAGCTGATGGTTTGTTGTTCTTTCAGTTAGTTTCGCTGGCTGGTCCAGGTGGTTCATGCGAAATAGAGCAAAATTTATTGAATACAAAAATCAAGGCGATTACTGCCTACTACGGCAATCTCGTTACAGGACGATGTGATGATGTACTGAAGTGATTGAGATTGCATTTTTTGATTGATTGATTAATGATGACGATTAGTTACCTGGTGCTTTTAGTTATGAAAAGACCCTAAAAGAAGAGAATATTTGAATAATCTCTATGATATTTTGTGCTATTTTTTAATCGATAAGTTGTTATGAAAGATAATTTGATATTCTGCACTCATGTGAAAGTTGTTAATTTTTATGTTGTTTGTTGAACCGTTACGATGAGCTGAATAGGTGATTTATGTATGATCCATTGATGCCCATGTTGATGTGCATTTTCGAATGGAAAGCCCATTTTTTGAGTGGTTGCTTAGTCGTTATGTTTGTTTGTATCTTGATTGGTTTTGTTGTTGCTGTTATTATTCATATTGCTTTTATTCACTTGTTCAATCATCGCTCATCATCTACTTACTACCGAGCGATTTTGTTCATCTTTCGTGAAACTTTTTGAAAATTTGGTTGGTCTATGGAATTTGAGCGATTACACTGTTCGGAACTCCGTTAAATTTAGGACATTTTAGCTTTGTTCATCGAAGTTGAACTCTGCTATCACATTAATGGGGTGCTTATGTTGCGTCGTGCTCGATGTTGGGCGGTGGCAACGGATCGAAACCGAATGAATTTCTTTGGAGGGCCGGAAAGACCGCATTCGGTGGCCACAGGCAAAATCTGTCGGCTTTCAGTCCTGTTGTTTGTTATGTGTCTCGTATGTTCATTTCTTTTCATCGCTGTTAAGTTGTCCACTTTTAGTATGTCACTGACTGTAATTGTTTGTTGTATTCTGTTCGTTTTTCAATTCGTGCCTTTGAAAATAAACACTCTCTATCGAAAATGTGTGAATTTTGTCTGCATTTTGTTAAAATTAGTATGCTATAGCGCTGATACTAAGTAAGACGAAACGCGTGTAAAGTGCGGATTTCACAGATTCTTTTTTGATTAGAAAACAGAGTCATCGGTGACTGCTTGAGACAAAAAGTGAAGTATGCATAGCATCGGTAAAAATGAAGCAAAAAAGTCGAAACTATTGGTTATTATATGGGAAAAGAGGTGTAAGCAAGCAATGTAAGCACAAAGTGTGATCAATGGTAAATGAATCGAATTCGTTCCAGTTGATACCTGAACGGTGCTGATCGATCTTAACTTCTTCTCTTGATGAGACTATTACATTGATTGTGATAACAATAAAAGATGTTCAAAGCAAATGCAATGTTGATCAATATCATTTATTGATTATTCTCATGATTATTGAATATGCAAATAGAACTGCTCTTATTCAAAGAAGAGTTGACCGCATGAACGTTGAAAAACGTTCGCTTATTCTTATGACGATACACATGAAATGTTGCTTAGTGTCATAGATATTAGGCGATTATCGATACTGATTTTTGGAATATATCTTCATTATTAATAAAAAGATCGTGTCGGGGCTATCCACATTCCTTTGAATTATTGTTATTATTATAGTAATATTTGTTTATCACTTCTACTTCTTCTTATCTGCACCGAACACATCGCCACCAACTCCAGCCAATGTCTACAAATACAATGATGATTTTATCCTGAACCGGCTGATATGCACAACAATGCCATATATTGGCATCCAAAGGCAAAAAATACGCAGCACTAGGATTTGAAGTAAGTGTGCAGAACCCATTAGATTTAACCACTCGCTCTCTAATGCAATGATTTGTTTATCANCAAATACAATGATGATTTTATCCTGAACCGGCTGATATGCACAACAATGCCATATATTAGCATCCAAAGGCGAAAAATACGCAGCACTAGGATTCGAAGTGTGCAGAACCCATTAGATTTAACCACTCGCTCTCTAATGCAATGATTTGTTTATCAGCACCAGATTTTGGTAATAAATGAAGTCCTGATCAAAATAAAACCCGGCTTTCGTGGGCAAAAATTGACGCAGCGAGCAGGATTCGAACCTACGCGGGTAGAACCCATTGGATTTCAAGTCCAACTCCTTAACCACTCGGACATCGCTGCTGTGTGCGGCCGCTGCATAAAGTTCTCTATTAACATTTGTTTATTAACATTTGGGTCGTAACATGGGCAAGCAACAGCCAATATTTCTGTAAAAAAATTAACGCAGCGAGCAGGATTCGAACCTACGCGGGCAGAGCCCATTTGATTTCGAGTCAAACTCCTTAACCACTCGGACATCGCTGCCGAATCTAATCCAATTTAAGGTTTTCTTGTAACATCTGATCTACTCTTTCGGAAATCACTTCACAGTACGTTGTTGATTTTTCAACATCGGGTACCACACATCAACAGAAATTCCCGTCACAGGTTCCAAAAATACCTGATCGAACACCTGAATGTTTCGCCTCAGATTTCGCTTAATGTACGCTCAGTCAGCAACAGTTTCAGTGCAAGCAGCCGGGTATTCGGGGCTCAATTACTGGGTGACGGGATCTCACCGTAAACGTTGTGCACTAAAATCATGTCTCCTTTGGCCCTCTGAAGCAGTTTCGCTTTTATTTGGTTGATTTTAATAAACTATAACCGCAGATCGCTAGTTTTACTGTAACTAGCTTAATGCGTGATTTTTTGCGTTCAGCTGATAAATTAAATTGATTTCCCAGTACTGGGCATGGCTTTTGGGTAATGTCGTAGATATTTTGAAATTGAAGAACATTTTGCATGTATTCAACAGGTACCTAGATTCAACGAGTTTTGCATTTATCTCACATTATCATCGAACGACTAAAACTTTTCAATGATATGTTTTTGAAGCCAAACAATAGAATATTGCATGACTGACCTGATAATTCGGATCAAATGTTCCTGCTTTAGCATCTTTATTTTCGGGTACTTTTGCAGCACCTCCCCCACCGCCACCTCCTCCAGCAGCTTTCTTATCAGCGCCAAATACATCACCACCCACACCAGCCAATGTCTGGTAATTTGGATCAAACGTTCCCGCTTTTGCATCTTTATTATCCGGTGCTCTTGGATTTGCGCCTCCGCCTCCACCTCCACCAGCTTTAGCTTTCTTATCTTCACCGAACACATCGCCTCCGACGCCAGCCAGTGTCTGCAAATTGTATCATTAAACTTGATGATTGTAAACCTCAGCAGCAGTCTCTAATAAGGATTCCAGCTGATTCCATACCACATATCGTTTACTTCACCGGCTCGAGTGAAGTTCAATGAGAGGGATTAACAAGAATCGGAACCATTGAACTGCAGCTACTCGATGCTAATTTTGAAAGAATATAACATGTTTGCATAATGATTTCTTGAATTTGTTGCCGACTTATTGCTATTCCAAACTATCCTTCAACGTCTGATAGCTCAGGACATTCGTTTTTGATCAATCGATCATAAGAAGAGCAGAGCGATCAAGCTGAAATTTTGATAAAGTCTTCTCTAGAACATACTTGATAATTGGG